TTTCATGCGGCTTGAGCCGCATTTTAGGCATTGCGGTAGAAGAAATACTTCAGATGTCGAAAATGCGCGAAGTGGTTCTACATTTTCATATGAGTCCTATACAGAAAAACTCCGACAAATGTTGACAGAATCCCAATAGAAATATAGAGGAGGACCTACTCTTTCAGAAAACATATAACTTTATGAGGTTGGGACCTTGAACTTTTGTGCAACGGTTAATAAATCCGGGGTGTCAAAAATCGGCGGAAACTTTTCGGACAACCCAATAATTTACAAAAATTGCCATTATCCTGACCTCCTCCGAAAACGCAATCCATTTTGCACTCTTAAATGCGGCGTCATCCAAGGCAGTGCTTCAGATGCAAGGGCAAGACACTATCGCAAAGACAAGCATGAAACACAAAGAAAACAGGTATACAGCCGCATTAAAAATTCTGCAAAAGAAACCGCAGAAACGTTCAACATATTAAATCAGCAAAAACTCAGAGAGCATGACAAGATTCAGAAGTGTCTTTTCTTTCGCGGTGCAAAGTGAATCCAAGCGTTGCCCTTGAAATCCAAGAGACGCCGAGCGCTAGTATACTTCAAAGCATGTTAATGGGAAGACTTTAGAGCTTTTCGCAATTCATCGGAACAAAAAAAAAACAACAAACAAAATTTTTCTCTAACACATCTCTTTCTCATTAGAACGACTCAATGAGGAATGACCGCTGACTCTGCCGTTCCCGTTCTGCTTTTGTCTTTTTGTTTGTACTGCTAGTTTTGAAGGGAGATAATTTTCATATGTGACCAGAAATCATCTATGAGGCTCTTATGCCTGGTTGCACAGCAACCAAGAAGCCGTCTCGATTTTAGAAATTCTCAACTGACGGCTCGAAAACTGAATGTTAGCAGTAGGGAAAAACTAACATCTGAACATTCCGCTTCTGATTCCTTCAACAGGATATTTCAATATTGTTGCGCCAAAATTCAGGAACCACCTAGGGAAGGGACTATCAAAAAACTGCAAAAAGGGTTCTCTTGCAATATGCATGATTTCTCGAGTGAGACTCCCAGCATCTTTTAGATGGTAAAGGCTCATTTGATGCTACTCGCCATTCGCATGCAAGAGGTGGATGGGCAGGGGAAAACCTCGTGTGAATCAACATTAGCCGCACGGAAGGCTTTTCAGCAAGACACAAAAACAAAAACAAGAGAAGCAGGATCAATCAAAGGCAAAGTGTATGCCAGTGTTTTTGAAGGAAAGACTGTCACAATAACTTTTTTGTTTGAGTCGATCGTGATCCCGTATGGCCTATGAAAGTTGCCGGATTGTATCCCAACAAGCAGTGTAAGGTCATAAAATGCAGAAGTTTTCTAAGTCATGGGAGGAAAATAGGCATCCCTTAATTGTTCTTTTTGACGAGAATATTCCCACGACAAGGCAATCCTTAACAAATGAAACGATCACCCTCTGTACAGAAACACCGAAAAAACAATATCTGTCAAAAAGTTGTTGAAAGAATGGCAAAATGATGCTTTATGAGAGAGTCGTGGAAAAGGGGAAACGCCGTTGGTTTCGTCGGTACCGGCGTGAAAATTGACGAGTACATACTTGAACAGCGTACTGATAGAAGTGGAGCGCTGACCCAACTCCTCTTCTTGAACTGTTCGTGCTCCTTCCAGAAAAAAGGAACTTCAGCGTTGAGTTCGTTAAAGAATAATGCCGGCGCAACCTTCAGAAGCCTATAAGAATAGCCATACTGCCTCCAGATCTTATCTACCTAACTCGTTCGTATGATCCCCGATTTGTAAAGAAACTGTCAAGTTCGCAAACTCAGTTTAGAGTTTTGAAAGCAAGACTCAAGAACGGCTGAGAGGAAATGGAGGAGGGATATCAGCGCGCAGAATGCGAGGATTTTGAGAGCAGACTTTGGGCGTCTATCCTTGCCAATGGGGAATATTTTGGAATGCGACTGTTGTTTGTTGTTGCACATAATGTGAGCAAGCGCGCAGAGAGATTCCATTGTCATTCTTAGCCTGTAGGCTTCAAATGCATTGTAGTGAACAGGCGCCCATTTCGGGATCTGCAGAATGCGTACGTGTCTAGGAGAGGTTATACTTGACGTTATGCGTCACTCGTCAATGAATTACTGTACTTATACTTTATCAAGGGGCGGAGGTGTAGTGGCAAGTAGCGCACTATCACGCATGCATGGTCACGGGTTCGAAACCCGGATCGATATCCGTCTCGCCCGAACAAGCCTTCCATCCTTCTGGGATCGAGTAATTGGTACCAGACTCGCCTGACAGGATAATGGTACTGACTCCTTGGCTGCCCACCGCAAGTCATTGTATAGCCCACATACGCATTCAATGCGTTCCGACGATCTCAATGAAAGTCGAGCGCATCCCTCAGCTTGAAGTCGGCTCATTGGCTGAAGATGTGGGGTACGAAAAAAGATGGCGAATCCATAACTGTTGACCAAGGTCGATAAGATACACAAGAAGACAAGCGTTATTGGACTTGTCAAACCTTTTTCCCGTAGAGCGAAACCTTGCACAGTTGTTGGCGATGTACGGTGCGAAGTTATCTTAGGTAGTAGGAGAAAAAATGGGAGCATCTGATAATCCTTACTTGATATAAAGCGCTCGAGTCTGTCTGTCTGTTTGTACGGAAATTCATGTCCCCGTGGACCTACGACGTTCAAATTCGGTAGGAGCACGGGCGGCAGGATGGAAACACATATGGTGGGTAGCAGGACCGGACTCCGCCTATAGGAGGCGGGGTTTGTGCGAAGAAAATGTAAACCAAACCATAACTCCTGCCCCTGTGAACCCAGAAAGTTCAAGTTTGGTAAGAGTGCCCGAGGCAGGGTGGGAACACTAATGGTGGGTGGCAGGATCGGGCCACAGAGGGCGGGGTTTGTGCCAAAATTGTCAATTCGGCCCTATGGCGTTTAAACTTGGCACGAGTATAGGCGGCAGGATGGGAACATCATGGTAGGTGGGAGGACCAGACCCCGCCCATAGAAGGCGAGCTGTGCGCGAATTGGCTCTAGGGCGCTCAAACTTGGTAGGAAGACACTCGGCAGTGTGCGAACACTTCTGGTGAGTAGTAGGGCCGGCCTCCGCCCACTGGAGGCGGGGTTCCGCGAAATAAGCCTCAGGGCGAAAATCCATAACTCCTGATCCCATGGACTTGGGGAGCACAATCAGTAGGAGTAGAGTGGGCAGTATGGGAACACTGACGATGCAGGAGGCCTTAGGGAACAAGATCCAATCACCACTTGACTCCTAGCGCCTTTGCTATTCACGATTTAGCTGTGATTCTTTGATGTTTCATTTGACAAGAAGTGTAAGTGCACTGATAGGGACCGATTATGAAATTTGGTTCATTTCCTGCTTACGACCGTTACCCAGCGAAGTTTGCTATTCAATGAAGGATCACGGTTTCTCTCTGCTTTGATATCTTTCATGGCAAAACTTATCCAACCGCTAACAATCTTGGATTCTCATTTAATGATGTATCCGTAGATAAAAGGAGCTGCATTCATAAAGACATTTAATAATGGTATTATTATGACTCGACAACATTTGTGAGTACCATTCAGGGCTTTGAATGCCTACCAGTTAAATATTCAATGGGTCATTATTTTTAACAACAACAGCGACAGACAGATTCTAATCGAAGGCATAGGCATCGCTGTTGTTTGCCGTTTATGCTCCATCATAAGCAGGAGGGAAACCCGGCGTTAGCCGGGCGGTCCGACTGTCTCTATATATAAAACGGTAATTTTGTGTGTCAGTTTCTATGCCCGTTTGTGCGTCCTTTCAAAAGTCATGTAGGACGACGAGGAGTGTGAATGTCAAGTGAGCGCAGTGGGGAACCAGTTATGAAATGGGAAGCCTACCGATACTGTTTATATTGATACACTAACAAATCGTAGGTAAGCGTATGGGGCATGTGGTGCATGCATTAGCGTGCGTAGCCCAACTGGTGACTGTTAAGTAACTTCATACAGCAAGAACCACAGAAACCGTTACGCTTCTCTTGTTCTCAATGATGTCATTTTATAATATTGTAGGCCTGGTATGTTTGCACTACGAATTCGCAGGCCAAGAATATCAGTTCGGGCCGTATTGGCACGGAATTAAAACCCGTGCACATGTCAATGCGGGGCTTCACCTTGTGACACTAGCGATTATACCGCTCAGACTAAATACTACAGGGGAAAGCTTCTGTCCAACAATGAAACACTGATATCACTGAGATCACAAAGGAGGCTTAACGACCGCAATTTTTGAGCATTAACCGGAGATAGGCACCTTCTGATGCGTGGACAAAAACAGCCGCTACTTCACGTTTTATCGATTCAGTTCGATTGAACTTGGAAACAAGCCGCCTCTCAAAGGTGATGAATCTAAATAATTATGCAAAAAAATGGTGAGCTAGAAAACTTCAGAAAAATTGTTGAACAAACCAGGAGAAAAAGAAAAAACGGATGTTCCTAATCTTCAACATAAAACCTATTGGGTTCGGCGCGAAAACGCTCGGTATCCTTCCCGACAAGTACAATGGCACTCATCGGAAGTAAAACCCGAAGACGACGGCTCTATACAATACGGCGAATACTGGATCGGTGGAGGGTGGAGGAAATCTAGTTATCAAATGTATGTGTTGTCAATCAATCAATATTATATGTAACAGAGACACTCTGCAACCGTTTGTCGACAGATCAGAAAAAAGAAGATGACGAGGCAAAAACAGAAAATATTAAAAAGAATTGTTTAATGGAACAATGAGGCATATCAATTCACGAAAAAAAAATCACATGAGATCGTTGCTTACACGACAAGAGCGTACGCAGTGTCGAGCGAAGCACCAAAATTTCAAAAAAATCATTTTTGTTGGGTGGAGGCCTTGTATGAAGTGACAGCATAACTTCGCACTCTGCTAGGCGTAAGTCATTCTTTGGACAAGAACATGGGAGGAAAAGCATGTATCACCAAGCATGTTCAGCCTGACGTAACCTTACCATGGAAGCTAGAGAATGACTCTTAAACTGAATGAAAAATTTTCCGATTTGTTTCCCCTTTTTTGCCCACATTGTTAGCTTTCTGAATCAACCCTATCGAAGTGTACAAAAGAGAGGACGTTGGATGTTCTGTAATGCGCTACACCACTATAGGTCCCTCCTCCTCTATAACGAGACCAGGTAGAAGAAATCAATCAAAAATACATGTGTTATAATAGACGAAGTTCAGTAGACGTGTTTATAGGTCAGTGAGCATTTTCGCTCTTTTACATTCCATCTGCTGCCATATTTTCAAGTTAATTTGAACGAATCACAAAACCTGTGCAAAAATTAAGGAGTGCATCACTTCATCTCCTTGTCCCGCAAGCACTATACTCTGGATACATTTTTACAATGAATCAGTTCACGTTAAACTACTTTCTCGTTCTTCAGGAATTGAACTGAATGGGCATTCAATGTCTTACGCGCAAGAGAAATAGAATAGTTTCATTTACACAGACGCACCCCGACGTTCCGGAAGCTTCAGAAGGAGTGCATGATCTGTCATTATCGTTGACAGACATAAAAGTTTTCGTTTAAAGCAAACCTTTGCAATGGTACAGGGCCTCCTTCGTTTGGCCTTGGAGGCTCATCGTCAGTGGACTCGTCCAAATTACGACAGCAAAGAGGTAGATCGAGACGTAAGAAGTTTCTGTAATAGTTCATATCAACTGTGCGCAAATCCCAAATTCTAGACGCTAACATTAAAAGTTAGAAGATATCATGCTTAAGAATGTCAAAACTAATCGAGGAGCCCATATGGTTCAGCAATCGAACAGCGATACCGTTTGCCGACTTGCAATTCTTCAGCGCAATAAAATTGACTCAGATGATGTAATGTGAAGAATGCGCGATTAAACAAGCTTTCACAAGTTGAAAGCGAGTAACTGAATTCGTTAGGAGAGAAACATTACATCGGTACTAATTTGGTTTCTTTGAAAACATTCCGAAGATCTTTCGGTTTTTCGTTGACCCAATTAATTAATATAAATAAAGGATAAATAAAGAACTAACAGGAATTAGAAGACCGGACAATAAAAACTAACCTAAGCTGACTTGGTTGCATGGACTGATACGACAAACGTTCCAGTACATAGTAGAATGGGTGCAGCAATATGTGCTCCTCGCAAAGAAATAATTTTGAGGCGATCGACAGTAGATGACGAGGCATGTCCACCTTAACATTGACTTCTAATCAGAAGGTCATCATAGTTTTTTTTTTTGACTTTTTCGCGTACTTGACACATTAACTGTTGATTCCTCTCCGGCTTCAAAAGCGCTTTCAAGAGCAGACCGCAGTAGTACTGAGCACCAACATGCCATTTGGTGTTTTCCGAATGTATGGATGGCAGAAGTGACAGAATCGATTGAACAGCTCCAGGATGCACCTAGGAAAAACTTATAGCAGCAAGTGGAACAAATCTTGCAAATCAAATCACAAACCAAAACGGAAGAAGTCCATGAGACAATACAATCCTCTAGCGACCCCTCAGGAGACGCCCACGTTACATCGGAAGACATCCTTCAAACAATGGGTTTTTGTTCAGGCAATTAGGAACGTCAAGTATTTCCAGCTATTCTAAACAACAGTAACGTACTTCTCGTAATTATCTAGTGCCATGTTAAAAAGAAGTCGTATGATGTAACAGGCAAAGAAAATTGAAGGCGGCATGTCGGCAGGGATCGAACTGTCAAGCGAAATAAGTCAGAATATTGTTACAAAACTTTGAACTCAACCGGCATCAAAAAATAAAGATAAAATATAAAGTCATAGAATGAAATACCCTGACTGAATATCTTCATCCATCTTGAAAACTGCATGACAAGCAGCCAACTCGTTTTTCAGTTCAGATCCCTGAAGCCATGAAGTTTGTTTTACCGGAGCGAAAGTTTTCATAGCGAGATAGTGGGAAGTATAAAACTTTATAGAACCTTTAACGCAAAAATTCACGCCACCGTAACTGCTTTTTTTGACCTTAAATATACAGCTCCACATACTGTGCCGTATTTTGTAATTTGACAAAGATGCTCTAAAGTAGTACAAACGACGGCCTCTCAAAGGTAATTTTCTCAAAACTCCATGACTAGAGTGACATAATGAAGTTACTGTGAAAACAACAATACGCTTCCTGTAGTGCTCCCCATGCAAATGAGATCTATAATAACGCAACACAGTAGCACTATCGTTGGCCAACTTGCTCAATTCAGAATGGAAGAGTTCACATCTCACTAATTTCTTATAAATTAAGTGCAAAATTTTGGGATGAGTTTTTATGAGCGTTAGAATACAAGTCCCGTTTTTGAGTGAAATCATATGTTCTACTTTTACAGAAAAATTCGCACGGAAGTGCATAGCCGGGGTAGCCCTCATCTTCCGTCATCAGGCTCTCCGGAAACTCCCTTCGATATGGGGTTTTCATTAGTGATTGGCTGAAGAGATACGCATGTGATTGTTGGCGGACGACAATTGCGACATGACTTACAGTAGAAGCACTCAAGAATCTACTCGAATGGTATCACCAACAAATCTGAGATAATTCCAGTCGTGCTGATGGTACAGAGCTGTACAGGTTTTTGATGAGTATTTAATATAAATATTGAAGTTTCACATCAAACTGATAGTTTAGAACACACCTGTAACCGCCATTCGGGATCAGTCACATTGACCATTGTATTGTCGTTAAACGCACCCATCAATCGAAGCACAGTTGTAATGCTGTCCCAACTCACCTGAAATGAGTAATGAAAGGGCTTGGCATCATTTAGGAAATAAATAAATCAATTCAAAGAGGACTAACCTCAGTAGAAAAATACTTGGCATTTGACGGCTCGAACCTCATACTTATAGTCAGAACTTTGAATATCAGATGAATAAAGTCAAGCAATTCGACAGCTTCGACAGCGACTGAACCTAAACTCGACAATATATAAGGAATATATGTATAACAAAGATTCCGCATTGTCCGCAAGACTTCAATGATTGTGTTTTAAAGCTTCCCCAACAACAATACAAATCTTTTGAGCCTCCCACTGATAAGTAAGGCACTATCGTTATATTGAGAAACGTTTAGTGCATCCAATGCTAACCTGAAAAAAACATTAATGTATGAATTTTTCGGGTCACACAACATTAAACTCTGTAATATAAAAGTAGTAAAATAAAAAAGGTTGTGAAATGGAACAATTACGTTGAAAACGATTGAGTTTTTGTGTTATATTTTTACCTTTTTCGCTTTTGTTTGATTGGTTAACATTTATTCAGCTTCCCATTGCAGACAAGTTTTTGACGCACATGGTATGCATAAGTGATTGAATAGATAAATGTATACCTTCAGTATTCTTCATCTTCGAGAAGGCTCCCTCAAGACCAAGAAGCATTGAAATTAGACCGAGGTAGCCACCAGTTTTACGAAATTGTACCCGCACTTTATGACTTTCGCGAAGAACGCCCAATACGGTCTTCAAAATGAAAGGTCTGGTTTGAGAGATTACAGAAACAAGTGATTGACTAACCTTCAAGAGATCTACATTGAGTTCAAGTTGCTGCTGTGGACCAACTTGACTGATAACCTTGAAACCATCATTGAAAAAACAAAAAATGTAGATTAGGAAATCAAGACTGAAACCTGAATTACTCCCGCTATATATTGATCCGTAGATGCAAGAAGAAGCAGTTGTTTCAGCAGTTGTAAACTACTACTCCGCCACTCACCATTCACCACAGTGAGCACACTAAGTAATGTGCGAGCTCCAAAGCAATCCGAAAACATCCCTACAATGCGCGACTAACCACTAATTAACCGAATTGAAACTGCAAGAGCACTCACTAGCATTTTCCAAATTTCCTTTTATAATCACAGTTAAAAGATCAGTAGCCAGTAACACAAGTTTTTTCTCATTGTCAGTGAGGCTACGCTCTGAATATAAGTATAGAGACAAACAGGGAAAACAGCGTACACCCAAAAAGAACGAAGCAGCGAAGAACAGATTCTTACGTTTATATTGCGCGAACAGGTGATTGATTATGTAGCATAGGGTATCTAGAAGACCAACCTCACGAAAAGCATCCTAAAACAGTGCATTAAACACAAATGAAACACACAAATTACAAACCAAAAATTAAATTTCTAAGTAGAGCTGGTGCAGTGGTGCTTGAATAATAGCAAATAAGCTAAGACTGTGGTGGACTGTTCAAGGCAGCGAGTTATGAGGTGCATGGACATTTGAAGTGTAAGTGAAGAAAAACGTTTGTATGTCTGAATACTAGGCAGCCGTGAGAGAGGGAACTCGAAGCGCTATTTGACACGAACGAGCTATTCTAACCTACACAGGCAAGGAATTGGAAATGAACTCAAAACAACAAGTTTATATTTATGAAAATAGAACAGATGGAAAATCCAATCTTATTAATTGCATTGCAACCGGAACGCTTGTGTATAAAAACGAACCTTGATGACTGAATCGACAGTGAGAAGACGAAACGCCGCTTGAACACCAGAGATGCAAATACTCTGCTGGCCAGAAGCCAGTTCTGTTTTCATTTGGACACATATACCTATCAACTCCTTGCAAGGAATGTAATTGAGGTGAAACACACAATATTCCACAAGTTCGAAAATTTTGGCCTAAAATACATCAAATTTAGGAATCTCACTAAAACTTTGGGTAGGAATGTAAAAAGATGGGTGACAAGTGATTTTAAACTTACTCTCACAATCTCATCTTTTCTGTCTAGCTGTTCTATGAACAAAGCAAGTGGATACTCTTTATCAAGAATAAAATAATTTGCTGGATCGCACGAGTATATGGAGTGAACAGTATCAATAACATTGGCACAAACAGCAGGATTCTGACTCTATAACGGCGTGAATTAAATTTAAAAAAGTGAACCGTGAAATGATTGAATAAACAGAACAGAGCAGCAATAAGCAGAATCGATAAAAACAGTAGAAAAAATTACAGTACAGTAGAAAAATCATAAAAGTCAAGTCATGTCGGATTGTTGAATAATTGGTAAATTGCGCACGAAACATGCAGAACCCATAGTGGTACTTGGAAACATTTCTTTTCAAAAAGGGAGTCCACGTTTTACCTGAGCTTCAAGAATTAAGGAAGACGGGGGTGGGTGATCTTGTTGACAGTTCTTGTCTCCCACCAGAGTCTTTTGCAGGAGGTAATCATCTCACCCGCCTCGGTTTCCTCCCCTACTGGGGCTCCGGTAAAGAGCTACCCTTCTTCTCTGCGTTCAACCGTTCAGGTGTTGGATAGAGCACTGCCTCCCCAACCCCCCCCCCCCCCCCCCCCCCCCCCCCCCTCTCCAAAGGAAAAGTGTACCAGAACGTGGTGAGGCCTACCATCTTGTACGGCAGAGGGTTATAGCGCGTGAGTAAAAACTATGAAAAGCAGCATCACTGAATTGAGGATGCTTAGATGAGCCTGCGGTTGTACAAGCTTGGATAAAGTTAGAAACTAAAACATCAAGGCGGTCATGCAAACAGTCCCTGCCCAGCTAAAATTAAGAGGACTGACAAAGTCACAGTAACCGAAGTAATAGAACTCGATTCTTAAGATAAGCGAACCCGAAAGAAGAAGTGGCGGGCGTGATCAAGCAGGAACTCGCCGAAACCTGCACGAGAAACGCGACAAAAGGGAGTGAAGACGACTTATAAGAATAGCGTACCCTACGATAGTGAAGATTAACGCCAGGAATATGAAGAAAAAGATGTACTGTTCCAACGTTCTTACAGCATGGATATTTGGGCAAGAAATTCTGGCGCTTTCTGTATACTACTGAGACAGATCGTGAAAGCCAACTTCATTACTATGTTTCTATACAAACCATCATCAAGCATCTGTGAGCATAAAAGTGAGCATCTAAGCATACAAAAAAACCTTCGCTACTTGAAAGCCTTGCTATTTCGCTCCAGATGCAAGGTAATTGAAAGAGAACGAGTATATAAGTTTTCGGAAGAAAAACCTTACCTCAAGAAAAATCTTATGAATCAAACCGAATGCCTGGATATTGCGGACGGAAAGCCCATTACCGGACGGATTTGGTAAATGGAATGTCGGAAGTTGAACGAGACCAGATGAATGCTGAAGAAAAACGATGAGATGGGAATCGCGAAAAGCTGAATAAAGAAGCATACATGAGGCTTGATTTCTAGTGGACCATTTGTTATGACCGAAACGAGCATGAGAAGTATGTTTCGAATGATATCCTCACAATCTTCATTCCTGAAAAAAGAAAGCAAATTCGCAGCAGTAAGATAACTACGCTCAAATAGGTGATTACTAGGCAAGCAATGTATGTCAGGCGCCAACGGGCTATCAGAAATCGTTCCAAATTTTGAAATCAAAATAGAAACAAAGGTGGAGTTTACACAAAAGAGAAAGATGCGCTACGGAGGATGTCGCCTTCCATAAGGAACAGTGGCATTCAGTACAAGAAGTTTCTTCTGCAATCTATTCGAAGAAGAAAACAATGACAGACGCAAAGAAGAGCAAAAAGGAAAGCGGCATCAAAGAAAGAAAAAAATTCCAGGCCTGCTACGGGAACCTGAGCAAAAAACTTGTCGGCTTTTTCTAAAATGACACTCATCCTTTTTCAAACCTAGAGAACCTGTAGACGGCACAGCCGGCTTTCGGGCATGCGTCCATGATGCTTTTTCCTAACTCAAGACATATCTCAAGACAAGATACCCGTAAGGTGTCAACGTTAGCTTCAGAAATATAATATAATACAATTAAAAAGGAAATTCGCAAAGTCTGAGAGTCTATTTTGCAAGCAAATGAAAACATACTTGGAAAACTCAAGTATCTCGAGAAAAAAATGTTTTAAAGAATAGATACTTCAATATGAAGTCCTTGATGGCGAGGTATCCGTTTGATTGACTGAAATTCTCAATCAGCTGATTTGTCTGACGGGCCGAATCTTTTAAAACGCACAATAAACAAATAATCATTTCTGCGACTTCCTGAAAGTATGAAAAAATACAGCTCAAAATTCACTCTTAACTCACTACATTTCATGATTTGCAGGCAAGATAGGTTAAAGGTTACTGCTAAAACAGTGAAACTTGCCTGTGTTTGAAGTTTCGGAGATTTTATATTCGTTAGATAAGTTCGAATGCAATCCTTTGTAGATATGTATTTTATCACATTTGGAGTCAGGCTCTATAACAGTTAATATTTTAACAAAATGAAAAAGTCCATGAAAATACGTGCCCACTATGCTGCTTTACACATGCTTCACTCTTACGATCATTCTCTCGCAACCTCACTCATTCATATAAGTGTCGATGTCAAAACAGTGAATTCGGCTTGCCACTGCCACTAATTGTTTGGGCAATATACGCACACCAACCACCATCACGATTCTGAATGGAAATCAAATGCGGGTGCGGATTTCAAAAAAGGGCTAATCAACGTAGAAATCATGCTTTATCCTCAAATTTAGGACCAAACTCTATGTTGACAATAAGAGTATAATTAAATCACAACTAAACAACTGCATTGTCCCACATTGTTGTTTCTGCTCAACACTTTCCACTTTTCACAGTGCTTCACAGTGTACAATTAGAAACTCCAAGCCCCTTAATCATAACCATCTTGTGAGGGTTGTGTGAGGTAATTGGCAGCCCGGTCTCCCAAAATCCACAGGTGCGTTAATGAGCAACAACTCATTCAACATGAACAACGGCTCATAGTTAGTCTATACTAAGAACAGACACAGGAATTTTCTCAAAATGAATGTTCATTAATGACTTACCCTAGCCGACAATGCCTCAAGGACACGTGCAGTGGTTTTTCGCCATTGAACATTTTCTTGAGGTAAAGACGATGACGAGCCAATAAAGAGCAAAAGTAAATCGTCTTTCTTAGCCAATTCTTCACTGACATACCTAGAAAAACTTCTTAGTTTCGTTCTCTATTAAGTTCTAGAGATTGCCAGCATCGACTAACGATACTCTTTTCTCATACTACAAAAGCTGAGGGCACTTACTTGAAAGAACAAAGTCTATCTAGGAGACATGTGAGTAACTGGTTCAACTTCTCTCGTGGTTCGCAAAATTCGTTATTGACAGGAAGATCAAAAAATAGGTAAATAGTCTTCACCAAAGTGCTGGGTAGTGACACCTTGCAGACTGAGTTGATGATGACTTCGTCATCCCTAAAACAGTATTGATGGCAACAAGTGACGCTTTGAAGCCAACGGGCGCATTTATAGTGCGACGCCGACAGAGGAGTCGGTAGCCGATACCTTGCACTTCGGTGATCCAAGGTGTGCAGATCGAGCCGGGTAAAAAGATAAGCTTTGGGTGTGAAAGCTTTGAGTGTGAAATTCATAGTTCCTCACTGGGAGAGGGGATGGAGGATTCATTGGAACTGCGCAAAATAATATGGCCACTTCAGTAACACCGTCAAACTTATGTATCATCACCGACCATACCTTTTTTCTTATTCTTTTTTTTTTGAATAAACGTTTCTGATCCACACTATTTGAAAACCTTCTTCAAAAAAAGGTGACTCTCTCTCCTCCTCCAACCGCGAAACAAAACTTTCACCCAGAAATCTCTCCTTTTTACACGTTCGCTCAAGGCCCCCGGCTTGCAAAATACCGATCGAAGGTTGGTGCCGAACTCGTCGTCGAGAAGACGAACTATGAATGCACCAATCCAACCAGGAGAAAGATATATTAGGGCGTTGATACAGTAAAGGCTAAGCGCTCGTAGGCCACAATAGCTTACGCGGCGCTGCTGACAGAGTTTGCGCTTGAATATATTATTTTCCAAGCAGAACTGCGCAGCCCTTTCATATTAAAATACAAAACTTTGAACACATAAATCCATAGAGGACAAAAATATCGAATCCACACACAAAAAGAACTGAGGAGCAAACAACACGACAATAAAAACTCGACCAAGAAATCAGCCATCACCGACACGGCACCGATCAACGCCCTACTTTTAAATATACCACACAGATATTAGTTTCTTTACAACCACTGAAGTTGACAATTGTTTTGCGCTTCAATTTCTGTTCGCAGATGTAGCACTTATCGTTAGACGTCTCTTAGAGTAAAGAAACGAAAACTTTTCCGATTCTACTGACTTCTTCTATCAAGTGAGGCCTTCAAATAGAACTATCTTCGTGTCAAACTTCTACATTCTTCCTCCTTCACTGGCAAAAGAAGTCACGACACATAGACATACACCAAAACTTCAGCAAGTGAAGAAATGAAAGTTTACATTTTAACATTTTCCATATTTATGTTTCTCTTGGAACTGAACTAGTCGTGCCTCTGCAGATAAAGCGATCAAAAACTACTCAGTGAAGGAAGGAGCAGCCGTTTTCACAGTTCGCACTGGTCGATCGACGAAAGGCGGAAGGCCATAGGCTTCGCGATGTCGATCGACACTGACATCAGGAACAAATCACTTGTAATCACTTTCGAAATATACTCTAGTTTAATGTCTTCAAAGGGCTCAAGCTTTTCCCATCTCCTCACGAAGAGCTACATTTGAGGGACTTCGAGGCGTTCAATCATTGACGGCCGACATCGGTGCGTTGAACGCCATCAGAATTTGTTATAAAACGAGACTCGGTATGAATCTACTTGAGAGAAGACTACAGCATACAAGCAGCTGTTTGAGTAAAAGGACCGCTTCAACAATATTCAGAGGAATCAGCATTCATAGTTCTAGAACATATCACACTCTACAAGATCACAAAACAGAAGGGGAACAACTTTCTCATAGAGAAGTAAAGAAGTAGAAGTCGTATTTATGAGAAGAACTACTAGCAACAAAATAGTTCAGAAGCGATGGTGAAATACGAAAGATATAGAGGAAGATATAGAGAGGTTGCTGCCATAGCGAATCCCAAGTTAGTATACCAGAAAATTAATAATAAGGCAGAACTTTTCTATATTATCAATATATGTATATTTGTATATTATTTGCATATTTTATGTATACTTATGCAATAAGAGCAGTTAAACGCACAAGACTAATGTTGAGCTTGCTGAGGTTGAGACAAAAGCCCCTGAGTTCGTGATCAAGAAAAAGAAAAACGTGCGATATTCAGCGGCATCATTTCTCATTCACGTATTGAAACAAACGGTCTATGCTTCCCTAGTAGATTCCAAAAAGCGCCACGTAACGCTACTGACAGAACTTATCACTGATATTATGTAAATCAAAACAAGCAAGAAGGAGAAATGTAAGCTTACGTGGATATCAAGAAATAGATAGAATTCAGTAACAACCATCCTTTCTGGGAAGAAGACTGCTGAAGGTACTCAGCGATATTAGCGGCAGCGTCAACTGTACCATGACTAGAAGCCCTAGAGAACAGGATACGATATGCTATTTCCAAAAAAAAGTAGAGCGTTTTGTAAACTGCATACCTCTGTCTAATTTCCCTCACTAAAACGCTGCACAAGAATGTGGTAAAATTTAGAATCTCCTTGAATTCGACCTTCAGCTCAGCCGGTGTGAACATTGCCATTACCTGGAATATTAGATGCTCTTGTTATTTCAACTCATTTCTGATCTCATTAATTTCTTCATTCAAAACTCTCAGTCGATCAATAATGGGATTTTCTTCCGATTCAGATAACGTATTCTGGGCTTTACTCGATAGAGCACTTCTTTTGGGAATAAAATTGAATCCTAACTTTGCTTTACAAGTTTCTGTTGTTTGTCTTGACTTCTTTACCCTCTTCCATAGCTTTAGTCAAAGAATTACCTAGGAGCATTTTCTCACCAGAAGAAAAAAAGATGGAAAAAACAAGGCCCAGTACCTGCTGAGCATGCGGAATTCAGCGAAATCACGATGAGTGGGCGTACACACAAAAGGTACTCTTAAAAATTTACAATGCTATCCAAAAACGCTCTAAAATAAAAGAAGCTGTGGTTGGAGGGCACCGAGAGAATGGGACAAAGTGGGCGTGGTCTGCATAAGGCGGGCGGGCTAAAATCGAAAAGTCATAACTATGCTCAAAAGTGTTCTGGAACGCGAGAAAAGTGGTTGAGGATAGCAAAGGAAGGATGAGGTGAGTGGAGCCATAACCAAGCATCCATAGCTTGTCCAAAAAAGTTTTGGAACCCAGAAAAGTTATTAGAAACCGTAGAAAAAATGGTGAGCCCTCGTGGTGGCCGGCCTCAGGCCAAAAACTCACAACTCTGTCCAAAAACTATCTTGAATCGAAATTATTATTTACTAACATATGAAGCCATCTTCATCACTAACGATATGTAAAGATTCGCAGACTTTCCATTCTATATACGTCACGAAATCCTGTATTACCCGAGGGAGCCCTGAAGTGGTCCCGTCAAGGTTGGTTCGAGTGTGAGTTAGGCAAGAATAAAAAGAGCACATTTGAACTTAGCAAACCTTTACAGGTAAGTGCGAAACAACCACTGGAATGGACGGTGCAAAGAGCAAAACTCTTCGACTTCATCACAGCTTAAAGGCCAGCTTCATGAGGAAACCCTGCTTTGAGCTTTTTGTTGTGATGCATGCGTTTATATGTGTAGCCTAAGGCGTCGAAAGAAATGCTACACCGCGCAAGTAGAGGAGAAAGAGGCGATAACAGGTTGTCTGAAGACCCCACGGAACAAACCGAAAACTCAGACTATATTTTGATATCACTTTACCTAGGTTCACAAGCCAACGTTATGTTGTACTGTGCTGAGGAATGGCCTGAAAATGTCACGTTCACTACAAGGGAACTCGGATCCACTATCTAGACAAGTTAAATTTATGAACACAATCTTCATCTTCCTGCCGCTATACGATATCAAAGGAGAATGAGTGGTATCAACTAGAGAAGATTACTTCTCCCAACCTTAAAGCTATTTACTGATATGGAAACCGCAATGCTGAATGAGTACAGAAAACATCATAACAAGGCCCAAAGAAATGTCCAAAAAGCTATGAAGAATGTTATACTGCTTGAATGCAGTATGCCTTCCAAATGTACAAGTAATAAGTGTCGCTGAGGCGCAGAGGTAGCGTTTTTGATCTTTAGGCTGAATGTTGGTTTGCTCAACGCTTTCGCCACGATTTTTATTTAGTGCGTTTCTTTCTTAGCAAAAGTTTTACCTCACTTTCTGATGAACATTTGAATGAGCACCCTACTCGAATAAAGCCGAAATAAGGCGCTCATATGAATGTATGAGGAAACGCAGGAATTGGGCGATGACGAGTAGCAAAGTAGCAAGCTAAGCCTGAGGAGCGAAAAACTAAAATTACGATGCGACGCTTATTGCTGAACAATTAATGGCGCTCTTGAAATCGAAACAGCCTTCAAAAAGCTTACACCGTTCATGACTTCCTTGAGAAACACATTTAACAGCATAGGCGAATGTGATGTTGAAGTGCTTGTAAGAAACTCCCACTGTAAATGGAAAAACCAACGAACTCCATGCAATTTGAAAGGTTTTGGCAATGTATGGGTTTGAAAAGGACTCTTTCGCACTCGTGCTGGCAGTCCTGGCATTACCAAGACCCCGCTTCCCCAGCCTTCTTAATGGCTTTTACGCCATAGCTTATTAGCACTCACACGTACAACACGGTGAGCTCGTCAGCCAATATCAGCGTGTCCATAACCCGCCAACCTTGTTAGATTTTCGGATCGCGTGCAGCGGCCAAAAACAGCAGTTATCAAACGTCAAGTCGACACAAGAATACTTAACCACTGACTTGTTTGGAAGTTGTTTGCAGTAACCATTATTAGAATGCTGCGTATACCACAGTATAGCAATACATGGCTGTTACCAAAATTATTGGTTTATTAATTAAGGCAGAAATTAATGGAAAATACGAACCTTCGTAAATAGAGGCAGTAATCTATTTGGATCGACATCTTTGGATCCTGACAAAGGTATTCGCATGTACTCACTAAACGTCTTCCTCAGATGGAGAAGGGTTAATGTGCGATCGGCCTTCTCGCCCATTTTCAGGCGATACCTTTACCCTTCACGGGTAACGCAGTGAACGACTTCTTGGACAATCTGGAAAATAGAAGAATCTACTTCCAAGAAACAGAAACGAAAAATATGCTTCAACTTATAGCGTCAGCGAAATTTGCCAATGATGCAAATAATTCACATCCACTTTGGAGAAAAAAGTTATGGCATTCTTGTTAGAATAAACTGTTTCGTTCAATCAGGTTTGATGGAGAGTAAACAGGGAAAAAAAGAAGGATGAGCGGTGCACTGTATGCGATGAATCATAGAAAAGAAAAAAAATGGAAAGCGTGAAATGGTGAACATGATAACGTTACTTATCGAAAAAGATGAGGAAGAAAATTTTTAATAAAGATGGGGGAATTCAGATTACGAAGGATTAAGGTTGGTGTTGGTCGTTATGTGCGGCCGATGATATTATCATGTCACTAAAAGTAGATCCCGCGCTCGCGGTGACCGCTTGGTATTATGCAGTCCCAAGTCCTAATTAGTTGACAGTAGCCGGTCTACCGGACCAGCGATGCTATCGTCCAAGCTGTACCTCCAGTTGAAGAGGAAAGGGGTTAGTGGGCGGTCCCAAATTAAGAATAGAGTTATTACGATCCCAATCCCGAGTAATCAATTCCAGCTGCTTTAGATGTAAATAGAGTACGTGCACTAGGATATCACTAGCTCTAGTGTCTGGTTACAGGCTTCCATCCTCGGGTAACTCGTCATGTGAAGATAGCAACCGTGAATGATATGTCCAACGATAAGGTAGAGCTGCATGCTTTGTTTTGGATGCTTGGCCATAGAGTAACTATTTCTGCGATTACAATTTGAAACTACCGTTTATTGCGGACCTTAGTAGCAATAGATATTCGACTAATAACCTCATCAACACATCCGGGTAGCTTTGCAGCAACTACAAAGGGGGAATAGAAGATCCTAGTGATTTATGGATATGGATTTATGCTCTTTTGAACGCCGAACCATATCAGCAGCCCTAATCTGAATAATTCCGGTAACAAAATTGCACAGAATTGCTTTCTGCAAGTGATATGCAAGTTCAGCGAACTGGTCATTAAGTCGAGCGCAGGTGCATATGGCGATAATGATGAGGTAAACGTCGCGTAGCAAGCATGAACAACACCTATTCACCGTTAATGAACAATGTAAAATGGTTTCTCAGGGAAAATACAACTACGAATATTTTTCACCCAAGCGACGTCCTCTGTAGAGGAAATGCGAAATGTTGGTTTACAGTTGATTTGCGTAATCAATTGTGACTTACAATCCTTCTGTTTACAACATGGCGCGCAACCCACAGCGTTATTTCGAGAATTGGTTCAATATGGCAAATGAATGTGAAAGGCAAAGTTCACAGAGGCTTTATTCCAGGAATTTCCCTTTCCCTATATCACCTGAACGGTTTGGCTTCAGATAAACTAAGCTGTGGTGGATTAGTCACAGATACTTGATTTGCGACATAAACTGGAATTTTTGAATGTGAAAGGCAAAGTTCACAGAGGCTTTATTCCAGGAATTTCCCTTTCCCTATATCACCTGAACGGTTTGGCTTCAGATAAACTAAGCTGTGGTGGATTAGTCACAGATACTTGATTTGCGACATAAACTGGAATTTTGACATCTGGTTGATAGCCGTCACACTTTTCTTTGTTCTACATTCTCTTGGAGCAGGTGCTGGAAGTACTTCTTCTCGAAAAAAGGAAAGTTAATTACAAAATCGAACGACGAATCCACCACTTCGCGCTGTAAAATCACCCATCTGTCACGTAGTCTACCTAAGTCCAGTCTAATCGACGCCTAACTGCTACGAGAGGGGTAGTCTTCTATGAGCTTCTGCTGCAAAAGGGAAACACTAATAAATCGAACATGATAGAACGAATAAATTGAATAAATCAAACCAATGTAATCATAGAAGGATAGTCCAAACTATGACAACCTGAGCATATAATTAGGAACGTATAATATATATAGGTGCTCATAAACTTTCTCCAAGGGCAAAACATAATAAACAGGTTAGTCACTTTTTGAAAACTCTGGAAAATCACCTTGATCACAACGAAGTTATCCGGAGTGTTCAGCAGTGGAAACACAAAAACATTTGGTCGACCTGTAAAAATTGTACTTCTTGCGATGGAGTCATCTTCAAAACATCGTTCAAAGGAAAAAATTTAAGTATGTTATCATTAATGACATCAGCAGTTGGGGAATATGGACAGGAATAGATGTCATGTGGCAGAATCAGAGGTATTTCTCTGCACAATTCACGAAACAGTGGAGTTTTCCTCAAAAACTGATCGAACGACGCAGCACAGAGATTTAGCGCAAATATTGATGGAATACAATTAAAATTGACTAGCTCTCATTCATAAGAGGAAAGAACATACCAAATATTGAAAGGAAATCGAAACCTCAGCTTCAGCTTGGAGGAAGGTGACGTCAACCAAAGCAGCAAACCCAGGTAGAGCACATGGGGTCAGAGACGCAGAGTGGGCGGCCGTGAAGTGTAGAGCGCAGACACCGAGAATCGATCCGCGAGGGCTCTCTTCGCTTCCACTGACGGCAGTCGCATCATCGACCATCTTTTGGAATTCGCAGTCCATTCTGTCGCTTCTGCAGAGGCCGTCGTAAACAGTGGGGTCCGGTCGTTTGCAAGTCACTATGGGAGAGTAAATAAGCCCATGTTCAAGAAATGACCTACGATGGCAGTCCAGTGGACCTAAACATCGGCATCTTGTAGCTATCAGAGCATGAGTAGGTAGCTGCATACCACTGCACCGCTCTACTGTGAGTATACGCTCATCTTGGGTATATCATTAATGAATGAAACTTTTCTGATCTGGAAGTCTTACAATTAGACTTGTTATCACTACTTGAAGGCCCAGTTCACGGTAAAAATGGTTCTAACATTTCACTGCAGGATGAATTCGAGGCCCCTTCCGGTACCATATGTGCCTATGTCAGGCCGAGAAAAGTCCTGGATGGGGCACAACAAAGGGTGAGACATAGTATCATGTGGATTCCACACCCACGGCGGACGAGTTTAAACGGCGTCGTAGAGACTGAACCATTCACAAGCGAATCCATGTAAGGAGATCAAACAACTTATCATGATCCATGGCGACAGAAGAATGCACTTTCGGACAATATTGGCTTGATGTAGTCAGCTCTTCGAGTAATAGCAGCAATTGAAAACTTGTCCGAATAGCCCTTCCATGCCATTTCTGTCATGGTAATCTCGTACAACCTCTATTTTCACTACTTTTCAGGAGCCTTATTTTTCGCAAAACTGATGAATTTTATCGCTCCCTTCACCACCGAAGCGCTATTCCCAACCGCTACTTTTGCTATTCGACTGAAAGAGGGTACCTCAAAATTATCATGAGCTGTACCTTTAAACTTCAACAAAAACCGGAGGCATTCGAAAATCTAGGCCAAAAGAGAAGGCATATTCGACGAAATACCTCCAAAGACAATCAGAAGACGTATGTATATGCTATCATTGTTCACCACTGTCATTGAAGTCCGGACTACCCGATCTTCCGAAAGTCTCTCGTAGTTCTTATTTCTCCCAAAAAAGGTTGAAAACAAGAGCGATCGAGTTAAATGGTTTCGCTTCCGTTCTGCAGTGCTCTGTCACCCAAACAGTGCCGTTGATGGCGTTAGAGTAACTAGTCGAAAGGAGCTCGCTCCGACATATTAATCTATCGGATTGTTTGGAAAGTGACCGCGATTTTTTAGCCTTTCAGGATTGTTTTTCCATCTACTGAACGAGCCTTGATGAATTACACGCACCCAGTTTTGTTCGGTAATCTTTTGCCGTCCTCATGGTGATTTCAAAGCTCCTTTTTCGTAGAACTTCCGGTTCCTCTAGCCAAAAAAAACTAGACCGCATACGATTCGATATCCTTATATTCAACGAAGGTTTTCTTGTTCATGGAGTCCTGAAACGACCGAAATCAGTTGTATATGGATGGTGCGAGGTTAGGCTATATGGTGGATGCAGCATTAACCTTCAATCTCCCTCTAAGGATTCGATAAATCGTGCCAAGTTACCAAAAATGTATGCGATCTAGCCAACTTTATTCCTTTGCGATTCGTTACTTATGAAGGGCTTTTTCAGTTGTTCATCAGTTTCTAACAAGTAGAGGTCCAGGCTAATACTCTCATTTCTTGGAAGCACTTCATTATATATCTCACACTGTTGAAATCCTATCGAACTGGTGGGGTGAACTTTTTTTACTAAGGAAGGTCAGCATCGACTCATGTGGCACCTGAACAGCTAATTTTTTCGTTGGTTCGAGTTTCTTGATGTACTCGTATTGCGATGGATAGTCAGTCTTCTCAGCAGTATATTACGGTCGGCTTTTATCAGTGCCATCAAAAGGTTACCAGCAATGTCTACTAGTCAGCCTACCATGGAGTAAAAATTGCCAGAACGAAAACTTGTGAACGAGCTTACATGTGCTCTGTGATGAGCCATTGTCACCTCATGTACTACACATAACATAAAAAGCACCAGCAGCTTCTCAGCAATGATAGAAGTAAGGACGAAAATGTACTGGAAACACTCCAGGTGACAGCCCTCAAACTCTGTTTCTAAAATTGCAAATGAAAATTGAAATATATGTATACCAGATGAAAGGCGTTCAACCTTTTGAGACGCTTCTAAAACTAATGCTTAAAATAACCGTTCTCGAAAATCGTACTTACTTTACGAACAGCTCAATATTTCTGGGAGAGGTTGGGTGGCTATGAGGAAGGGCTCGAAGTGAGTTGAGATGTTATCCGAATTTTGGTGTCAAGTTGTGGACCCTAATGATGCGCCCCTCTAATTTCCAGCTCACTTCCTTTTGAGCATGTTCGCAATTTGCCTACAGCAATAATTTCTGTATAGGGATATTCACATACATATATCT